CGTCAACACCAAACATGCTCGCCCTTTCTAGCCGTGGGGGCGGTTATAATGTGACGGTCAATCCCACTATTTGTTGGTACAAGAGTAGCCCAAGAGTTGGCAGTGGGTGGTGATGACTAGCTGCCTTCCCTCTAGTCTTACACTGCTAAATTAGGGACGGCTAGCGCAGATAGCCCTCGTGTAGCTTTGCGCGAAATTACAAAAACAAAAACAAAACAAAACAATCAGAAGATATGTTTCTTCCATAACACTGCTAAGGCTGCTCCCATCAAAATTATACTCATAATTCAAATTGTGAAATCCCACATGCACTACCTTGCATTTATTATAATTAAAAGTAATTTGTCATTTATTCGCCCAACTCACCAAATGATCCAAATCATTTCGTAAAGCAGCAGTATCCTTCTTACAGCCAGCAAAACCCCAAATTTTAATGTCATCAGCCAATTTAAAAAATCTATTGACCATTCCTCCATTTATATCATTGATGTAAACCAAAAAAAAAAAAGCAAAGGTCCTAACACTGAGCCCTGAAGTACCCCACTCGTGAAATTAGTCCATTTTGACTGAACGATATTCTGCTTTCTTCCATTTAGCCAGTTTTCTATCTAATAAGCCAACCTATCCCGCACACCTGCAGAGATAACTTTTTTTACAAGCCTTTTATATAGCATCTTGTCAAATCTTTTCTGAAAATCCAAATCCACGCCCATACCCTCATCTACAGTGAAAACATTAGTAAGGCAACATTTTTCTTCGTGAAACTATGCTGACTATCCAACAACATTTTCAACTTTGTTAAATGATTCTGCAAAGCATTTTTGTTATCAGATTTTCAAAAACGCTTTCCACCACTGATGTAAAACTAATAGACCTATAATTACTAGGATAATTTTTATCACTTCCCTTAAACAGAGGGGTTACATTAGCTAACTTCCAATCTCCTGGAACATGCCCACCATTCAACGATTTAGAAAAATAGTAGCACGTTGGCTTGCTTATCTGATCCTTAACCTCTTTGAAAACCCTTCACTAAATATTATTTGGTCCAGGAACTTTATAATTATTTAAACTCCTAATTTTGTTCTTAACAATTTCATAATTAATGTGATTATCTTAGTCAATCTAGAAACTGTTCAGGATGAGCTATGTTGTTTAAATCTTTACAAGTGAAAATTGAAGAAAAAGTATAATTTAATAGCTCAGCCATCTCATAATCATCAGATACTAGCCTTCCTGTATCACCCCTCAATGATCCTACTTCCTTTCTAATATCTTGCTTATTACCATTAATGTATTTGAAGAAATATTCACTACGATTTTTTACGTTTTCAGCCAAATTTTTTAAATACTTTTGATTTCTTAAATTCTTGTTTTACCAACTCTCTTGATCTTCAATAATCCTCCAAGTTTCTCATTATTGCAGCCAGTTTAAGCTTCTTATACTTAGAATACTTTCATTTAATTCCATCCTTTATACTCTTTGTAATTCAACCTGGTTTATTATTTGTAGCTGCCTTTTTTTCTTTATGGAATATGTCTATCTAAAACGTTTAAGGACTTATTTTTTCCACAATTGATCAGTATCTCCAACTAATTTAGTTGCCCAACTTACAGCAGATAATTCTTATTTCATCTCCTCGAAATTTGTCTTTCTAGAATTTGGAACCAAAAATCTCATTATTCTTTAACTCCATGGGCATCAAAAATCTCAAATCTAATGTGCAATGATCACTTGCACCCAGATGTTCTCCAATTCCCAACCTACTGACCATTTTGTCATTAGAAGTTAAGAATAAATGTAAAATAACATTGTTCCTAGTAGGAACATTTTTAACCAGATGTTGAAGAAAACCATCCTGAAAAGTTTCTAAAACCCTCATGATTTAACTCTAACATTCCCAATCTATATGTCTGAAATTAACATTTCTCATAATTATAACCTCATTAACAGTTGAATTATTTATCTCACTGTAGAGTTTCACATTATTTTCATCAGTTTCGTCTGATAGTCTGCAACAAATTCCTACTAAAAGCCATCTTCTCTTATGAACACTAACAGAAACTAATGACATGAACTTCTAACACCTATGTCTAGAACCAAAAAGGAATTCTGCCATTCAACTTTGGTGATACGGTATTAGTTGTAGTAACTAAATTGTCTACACCTCGACGTGAATTCCTGTATGTGGCGAAGGGCCCTCTCAGGGAAGGTTCTGTCTATATAGTTTACCTTCTCTGGGATCCAAACATCCACCCATGTGTTTGCCATGCGTGACAACCCATGAAAAGGAGGAGAGGATCCTGATGTCTGGGTGATATCAGGGAGAGTGCAATATAACACTTTGGCTTTGAATTACTGTACATGGATGGCCTTGGGTGGCCCCTTCAGGAGCAATCAACTGGTCCTATGTGGCTAGGATCAACTGAGTGCCAGTATTTCTATCGCTGGTGTTTGGGCATGTTGCCTATAAAACCCTGGCATACCTGCACAGTTATAGGTTGACAGTGTAGTTCATCTTTTTGTAAGATCCTATGGTGGGTGGGACCAGTGGGTACTGAATCTTTCTATTTTTCCTATATATTTTAACAGCAATAAAAATCAAAATAAGATTAAAAAAACATTGACTGGAAAATTACCACATTTCCACAGTCACCATCTCCTAGTTTTCCCGTGCCTCCTTTCCTACTTTTTCATTCATTGTCTGACAAATATTTACCTTTTTCATCCAGAATAGATTAAAGGAAGTTGCCGGCTCTCCTACGTTAGCCAAGAAGCTACAATCTGAAATTATCTTAATTGAAACATCTCGACCACAAGATAGCAAACTCCTCTTAAAATTGAAGTTCATCAAAGATATACCTACTGAGGTTACTACTTTGAATTCTGCAAGAGGAATGATAATTAAGATAGATCTACTTGTCATTTCCGAGTCGGAGATTCGCGCTGATTACTCCAACCAAGGTGTTTCAGTGGTTCAGCATATCTCCACTCAAATAGATGGAATAATGTGGCCAACCAACAGATTTATTCTTATGTTTACATCACTGTGTCAATCTGTCCTTGTTAAGTCAGGTTATATGACCTGTAAAGTGAGGCCCTATATTCCTAACCCTCTCAGATTTTCCAAATACAAAATTATGTATCTGAAAATTAACTTGATTGCAAATATAAATCAATCCAATTTGTGAGATAGCAAATTCCATTTTATTTTTTTATGATTATGGTTGTGCTTATTGTCGTTTATTATTTCCTTCTATAATTTAGTTTATCTGTGAATTTTTAGTTGTATTAAAACACTAACTCACCTTCTAGCTACTCATTTGTATTTTGAGTAAATATGTTTGGACACTCTAAGACATCTTGTCTTGGTACATTGACGAATGCTGATTGTAGGGGCAATCAATTGAACACATATGGTGTTAACTGCTATCGTTCCCACCATCCTACTTTCGTTTGTACTCTAAATGAGTGAAGGAGAAAGTGGTATAGCGGTTAAGGACTGCTAACAACATTTATTAACCTAAGGCTGGGAGTTATTTCCCCCCCCCCCTCTTCCATTACAGCTTTTGCTGTTGCACTCTAGTTAACAGTTACAGTTGGATTGCAGACAGTTCTTTTTGTTCCTCCTTCTGAGTTTTTCTCGAATCATGTCAAGGGTCTTCTATTATTCATGGGTAAGCTGGTAGACATATCCACATCTACTCCTATCTCTGAACCTACTGCTGGAACCAGTGAACATTCAGGTTCCTTTACATTGGCTCCAAGGTGCCGGACCACTATTCGATCGTGCACACATTCACTGGTACCACACTCGTCTGATACAGACCTGCCCCATGTACCCAAGACAGGACCCATGGACATAGATTGAACTCTTTCTAATAAACAGAAATAACTTGGCTCTAAACGAAAACAAAAGGGCTCTCCATATGATTCTCTTGCTCTTCTAAGTGAAACTTGCCACTTTCTTACAATGGTACTGTTGAGGATTTTTTTTATAATTTAGATCAGTGGTTTTCAACGTGGGCCATATGGCCCCCAGAGGCCACGCCATGTTTCTAAGGAATGTATTCACACGTGAATGACGGAAAATTAGGGGGCCATAGTAAATTCTGAATGGCCA